CAGGAAGGGTCAATTCAGTCGATCAGCTGAAAGAGATGGAAGGGCGCTCCAGTCTTCCCTTCTGCTATTCCCCCTTTTTAAGGTTTTGAACAGAATGTACGGCATTTACATCCTCCCCATTTCCCTTAGAAAGAAAAGAGAAACGTTTGAGAGATGTTAGGTAAAGGTAAAGGTTCCCCTTGACATTTAGTCCAGCTGTGTCTGACTCTAGTGGGTGGTGCTCATCCCTGTTTCCAAGCTGTAGCGCGATCGTTTGTCCAAACACAGTTTCCCGTGGTCATGGGGCCACCGCGACTAGACATGGAATGCCGTGACCTTCCCAGCGAGGTGGTCCCTATTTATCTACTCACATTTTTACATGCTTTCGAACGGGTTGGTTGGCAGGAGGTGGGACGAGCGATGGGAGCTCCCTCCGTCGCGTGGATTCGATCTTACGACGGCAGGTCTTCCGACCTTGCAGCACAGAGGCTTCTGCGGTATAAACCGCAGCGTCACCACGTCCCCCTGAGAGATGTTAGCCAGTAGATAATTCAAACATGAAGAAACTGAACTGCACTCCATTTTACGGATATGGAAGTAAAGGTTCATCAAAATGGTCAATTCAAGATGACCCTGAAGTCCTGACCGGGAGACAAACGGCATAGCTACACTATACACGTATAGCTGTTTAAATGCTGGCACTCCCTCTTAGCTCTTGCATGGCTCAAGGGTTGAGGTCTCTGGCTGCGGAGCCAGAAGTTGGGAGTTTGAATCCCGCACTGGGCCTCCTTGTCCGGGGCTGGTATCCAGGTCACTTGCAGCTCTGCAATTCTAAGATCATCATCATCTCCTCCCAGCCACTACAGAATGAATTCCCCATGTACCCATCCACTCAGTTCTGAGTTGCCACACGACCAGGTTGTCGTCAACACTGTGTGTGTTCTGTGCTTTCAAGTCGGAACTGACTTATAGCGACCCTGTTAGAGGTAGATATTTAAGGAATGGTTTTAACAGTTCCATACACACCCCAGTGAGTTCCCGTGGCCGAGTGGGGATTCGAACCCTGTTCTCCAGTATCCTAATGCATGTCAACTACAGCACACTGTGAACAATTGGTGTGATTGATGTGTTATCAATTGCTTTTGCGTTATGGTGACCCTAGTAGGATTTTCAATGCATTTGAGGTGTTCAAGGTCTAGGCAACCACTGAGATGAGCAAAGGAGTTCCCACAGCTGAGAGGGGATTTGAACCTGGGTCTGAGCCCTATCCCTATCGCCCACAGAAGTTCAGCACCTTGGATAACTCTAGAAAGGGCAGACTAAACCCCGCAGCGGATCCACAACAGACACAGACACATGAAAATGAATTTGTTAGTATCTCTACTCATATCAAGTTGCAGTTCTTCAGAGTTTCAGGTCACATTCTTTCCCTACCTGGAGATGCTGAGGATTGAACCCCCATCCTTCCTGCAAAAAAATAACCCTACGCTCTGCTCTTGAGCAGTGGCTCCTCCAGAAGGGTGATTTCGGCCTCCTCGTTCCGAAGCTGCAAAAAGTTCTCAGCCTGAGTGTGAAGCTAGAGAATTCAAAGCCTCCCCCCCTCCGCACCTCTCATGTGCAGGAAACTGAGCGGAAGGATTTTGGGGCCTCGTGACCGCATTCCTTTAGAGTTGGCCGAGCAAGAAATGGGGAATATTTCAGACCCGCCATCTGGCCTGTTCAGTTTGCAAGGCACCCCGTCCGTGCCTGCTTTGTCCCAGATGGCTGCATCTCAATCATTTCTTTTCAAAAGTCTGATTATGCAGGAAATGTAGAACAACATGCATGCCCATGTTCCACCATCTCTACTCCTTAGAGGTACTACAGAGCCATTCAAGGAGGCAAGAGGTAAGTAGGCCTGGAGGAATCCAGCTGTTCTCCTTCTATGTCCATTCATTCATTTGTTCCACATTCTTCTTCCTTTGAATTGTTGGCATTTACCACAGACTCTCCACCCCCTATGTTTGTTACATTTAAATGTTTTTGTCCTTGTTGCTGAAGGGTGTCTAAACCAGTGGTTCCCAACCTTGGGTATCTCAGATGTTCCTGGACTACAAGTCCCAGAATCTTCACCACTAGCTGTGCTGGCCAGGATTTCTGGGAGTTGTAGTCCCAGAACATCTGGGGACCTACATCTGGAAAGCACTGGGCTAGGGCATCCTGAGGGGAGGAGAAAGAGGGGTGTGATCCTGTTGTTCGGACGCAATGAGGCTCAGCAGATGTCTACCAATGGATTCTGCTACGAGACGTCACACAGGCAACAGCGAAGTAAAAAGTCCAGCAGGAAGGAGTTTGGTTTGAGCAGACGCTCGTAGACAGATGTGCCCCCCAAACCCTAGGATTTACACTTCTAGATTCAATTCTTCTTCTTCTACTTCCCAGTGGGTGTTTTACAGCGGGGTTGTGGCGGTGTACCATTTCCCATCATTTCCAGTTTGACAGGCTTGCCGGGCTTGTGAAGAGAGAGGCCGGTGTTAGGGATCGTTCTGTAAAACCCAACCGTCCAGCCCCAGACCTGAGTCACACGAGAAGCACAGAAGTTGCACAACGGCATGAAAGAAAAAGAGGAATGGAGGAGAAATGAAGGAAGGAAACGGCTCAGACATTTATCTACGTTCAGTAGGCATAAGACTGTTATTCCTTCTGTTGAAAGGCCCGTAAAACCTTGAGGATAGAGGGCCAGAATCTTATTTATGTTTGCATAAGATTTTTATGAGCTGGCTGTATAGCTCAGTGGTTTAGGTAACTGGCTGTGGAGTCAGAAAGTTGGGAGTTCGATTCCCCCCTCTGGGCATCCTGGGAGAAGAGCCAGCCTGGGTATCCTTGGTCCTGCCCAGCCAGGACCCCAGGGCTACCCCCAGAAGAAGGGAAAGGGAATTTACTTCTCAGCTACTCTCTACCTGGGAAACCCCAGAATGGTTTGCTATAAGCCACGATCGACAACGGCACTCAACTATTAATTATTTAAGATCTGTAGCACTAGCCGCGACTAGTGAGATTTCTTTCTATACGTTATCTTTGTTGGATCGAGCGATGGTTCCCAATGTTGGGTCACCCCACTGTTCTTGGACTGCAATTCCCAGAAGCCTTCACCCCTCGCCGTGCTGCCTGGGGTTTCTGGGAGTTGCAGTGCAAGAACGTCTGGGCGACCCGAGGTTCGGAACCACTGGGATAGAGGGTGAGATTCATTCACTAGAATATTTTTGGCAGACTTTTATAATGAGTACGTAAAAAGATTTGTAAGGTGTGGTTGTGTATGCTACTAGTTATTCTTGCACAATGTTTACAGCCATGGAGAGAAGCTTTGAAGAAACATTGCCCTGAAATGCATAACATTTTTGTTTTATGACTCAATCTTAGATTCGAGCCCCCTGAGTCATTGTTTCCCCTGTGGTTTGCAACTGGAAATGGAAATATTTTAAAACCTGGACCTTGTGGCAATCTTTCTTAGATTCGAGCCCCCTGAGTCATTGTTTTCCCTGTGGTTTGCAACTGGAAACGGAAATATTTTAAAACCTGGAGCCCTCCTGGACCTTGCTGCAATCTTTTGGTGCTGTTATGTTTGTAGCCTTGTAAGGTAGCTAGCTGACACATGTAATTATCCTGCTCCTTTCGACCTGGTGTTGCCAGTTCCAGATGTGTTCCGGTGCATCTGAGGTCGTAAAACTAAAATCAACCAGTCAACGAGATCCTCTTTGCTGGAACAACAGGAGTTTTCGATTATCTGGTCTACAAACGGCACCATTTTCTATTCTGGGGAGTTCTACCTGCCTTGCAGGCACTTAACAAACACCCAGAGGTGATGAACCTCTGAGGAAGGTCCAAATCAGAAGGTCTTGGAAGGCTGAGCGAGGCCTCGCTCCACCCGAGCTTCTGGTGCTACCTGGGAGTTTTCTTTCCAAGAAAGAAGTTTGTGCAGAGCTTGGCCAGCTAAGCTCAAAGCTTTCTGATGTAGACGTTCCCCCCCCAAAGAACACCACATTGAGGTGCACCTACGCCATCTGCAAGCCAAGTAGAATCCTAGAATGGGGAATTATGGTGTTTGTAGTCCAGAAAATCCAAAAATCTCTTCCTCCTTGCTTTCTGAACCAAAGAGGGAAGGCCTTAGGCACTCTGCAACCAACTATACCTATTTCAATCACTCAACCTGAGGAGAGAAACCCTGGCAAATATATTGCTATCTATCTATCTATCTATCTATCTATCTATCTATCTATCTATCTATCTATCTATCTATCTATCTATCTGTCTATCTATCTATCTATCTATCTATCGGTCGGTCGGTCGGTCGGTCGGTCGGTCGGTCTATGCCTTCCTTCCTTCCGTCTGTCTGTCTGTTAGTCTATTTAATTGATTAATTAATTGATTGATTAATTAATTAATTACTATCCCACCCATCTAGACTACATCTACTCTGGGTGGCTTACAGTAAGAACATGAGAAAAACAACATATAAACAATTAAAACGACAATTCAAATCAATAATATTAGTGGCATTCAAGATGGAAAAGCAAAATGGAAGTTAAGATAGAAAAGAAAATCAAGTCGTGATCGGAAGGGAAGGCCTGCCTGAAGAGCCAGGTCTTAAGCTGGCTCTTGAAAACACCCAGCAAGGTTGCCAGGTGAATTTCCGACGGACGCTTATTCCATTTTTGTTACCCTTCTCCTTTTTTTCTTCCTTAGCACTGCTCCGTGTTGCGTGTTCGAACAGGCTTCGTTACAAGGCTCGCCCCACCCCGACTGTGTTGTAAACTGAATGTTGCTTCAGAGGGTGCCGGAGACGCTTAATGAAAGATTGATGAGGAAGTAAAACTGTTCTGTAGAATTCTGGCCAGATCAGCTTGAAAAAACCCCTCCATCGCCCGGACATCCGGCGTGGGCTGCCATCTCCCAGACCGCTTGGACTTTCAGGTCCACCTTTCCACGAACCTCCTGGACCCAACACGGAGGAGATGACACGGCTTCCTTGTACGGTTTCTTTTCACCCAGCCGCTAAGAGCCACCCACCCGTCAACCCCACAATGATATCATCGGAGCCAGAGATGTGAATGCAGAAAGCAGAGCCTTTCCTTGGGTAATCTGGGACTTTAACGAGCTTAATTGTCGTTATGGCTTGTGGCACAAGTCAAGGAAGTTCAGCTGAGGAAGAGGAACGGCTGCTCTCTGTCTTTGCTTCGCCAAGGCAAGGTAAAAGGGGTCGTTTTCGAGCAGCAGGTTGCCGCAGAGGGAGATCGTGTGAATCGGCCAAGAGGGGAGATAAAGGCAGAGATGAAAACATCTCTTTACTGGTTTCCTTCTGTGTTTCGACGCTTTCGTGATATCTTTGGCTTGTCCCAAGCTGTGGGTGAAATGAAAGACGTGGGATGTTCAGTTGTTCTGTGTCAGTGCGGGATTCTTGTTTTATTTATTTTATTTATTTGTTTGATTTATATTTGGCCCATCTGGTATATTCTACCACTCTGGGCGGCTTACAGAACATCAAAACAATTTTTAAAAACTTAGAAACATTAGCATACAACAATAACAAATAGTGCAAGAATATAATAAATAATAAATAGCAAAGTAAAAAGAAATCAGTAGTTGATAGGAGGGAAGGCCTGGATGTACATCCATGTTTTCAGCTGACATTTGAAAGTACCCAGCGACAGGGCCTTGCAAATCTCCGGAGGAAGGTTGTTCCAAAGGCGAGGAGCCACCGCCAAGAAGGCCTGGCTTTGAGTCTTTTCCTTCTGGGCCTCCCTCGGCGTAAGGCTCCTCAGCCTCACCTCCTGACTCGCACGGGTGATCCGAGTAGATCTTGGTGGGAGCAGGCGCTCCACCAAGTATCAAGGTCCTAAATCATTTAGGGCCTTATAGGTAAGCATTAGAACTTTGAATTCAATGCGGAAACGGATGGGCAGCCAGTGCAGTGCAGCCAGAACAGGAGAAATATGATGATATTTTCTGACTCCACTAAGGAGTCTGGCCGCTGCATTCTGCACCACTTGAAGTTTCCGCATCAGCCTCAAAGGCAGCCCCACGTAGAGCGCGTTACAGTGGTCTAATCTTGAGATTACGAGCGCGTGCACCAAGGTAGTGTTTTGTTTCAGAATCCAGAGAAAAATTATCCTTGTTGGCTTTTTGTGATCTGGTCACCCGAACAGCTACACATTTCAACCACTTGCTGTCTTTTTTTACCCCTTTTTTTTAAAGCAGCGGGATGGGAAAGATCCCAGCAAATATATCACTTTTTTGCCATTGGGGTCCTTTCCTATCCCTGCATGGGTCAAAAAGGGTCAAGTACAAGAGAGATATTTTGCACAATCTCAGTCTAAGGCAAACTCTTGGGTGATGGGAAGACAATTCGCTACGTTACGTGTTCTTTATGGTTCAGGCTGTTTCAGCACAATGAGATCATGCGACGTGGAATTTTAGAACCCCATGAGATTTGGGGCCTCTAAATGAGAGTTATTATTTATTTTTTCATCCTGAAGATGTTTGAAGGGAGTAAAAAAAAATCTCTGCTGGCCTTTCCCTTTGAGGAACAAAGCAGGCAGGCAGAAGCACAAAGCAAACACAGAAGGAGGGGATTTTGCTAAGAAAGATGTGAGCACCCCATCTGGTGCTTCAGATTCTTGCGTCAAGCAACGGTCTTCCTAGTTGAGGGCAATTTGAAGAATTGAAGAATTCATACACGAGCATGAATTGTGCAGTTTTGGACAAAACCATGTGAAGCTGCATAGTCATTGGTATTTTTGTCAATGTGGAAAAAAATCTATGCAGAACACCTGAACGTTCTGGCCGGTATTAGTTATTTGACCAAAATCCTGTTGTATCCTGGTGCGGAGGAGAAAGTTGCAGTACCTTATTCACCCCAGAAAGGAGAGAACATGATCTTCAATGCCTTTGAAACCTCATTATGTTGCAGAATATCCCAACCCATTTAGTGCAAGGTGGTGTTGTAATTTTTTCCTGATTCATGAGGTTTAAATATAGGAAAACTAGTGAATTATGTACAGACAACTCTGTGGTTTCTGCTTTACATGTAGAACTATCTAGACTCCCTGAAAAACCTTAATCTGATATTAATTCATGTCAGATCGTAGGCATCCTTCAGTCTCAAGAGACTATGGTCATGTTTTCTGAATGGAGGACTTGGAGCAGCTAATTTGAGAGTGACCATCCCTTCCACACTGAAGACAAATACAATCTGTCCCCTGTCCAGGTCCCTGGTTTTGCTGGTTTCGGGACTGCCTCTTTGCCTCGGCCTGCTGGACAAGGGTCTCTTCAAATTGGGAGAGGCCGTGATGCAACGCCTGCCTCCAGGCTGAAAGCTCAGAGGTCAAGGTTTCCCATCTGTTCAGGTCCATTCCTAAGACCTTCACATCCTGCTTGCAGATATCCTTGTATCGTAGCTGTGGTCTCCTTCTGGGGTGATTTCCCTGCACTAATTCTCCATACAGGAGATCTTTTGGAATCCGACCATCAGCCATTCTCACAGCATGCCCGAGCCAACGTAGACGTCGCTGTTTCAGTAATGTATATATGCTAAAATTCCAGCTCGTTCTAGGACTTCTCTGTTTGGAACTTTGTCCTGCCAGGTGATAACAAAAATCCGTCGGAGGCAACACATATGGAAGGTGTTCAGCTTCCTCTCCTGCCATGCACAAAGGGTCCAGGACTCACTGCAGGACAGGAGTGTGCTTAGGACACAGGCTCTATAGACCTGGATCTTGGTATATGCGGTCAGCTTCTTATTAAGTCGTACTCTCTTTGTGGGTCTAGAGGACGCGCGAGCTGATTTGCCAATGCGTTTATTCATGTCGGAATGAATATTCATATTATAGACCAGTGGTTCTTAACCTTGGGTCTCCAGATGTTCTTGGACTAAATCTCCCAGAAACCTTCACCACTCACTGTGCTAGTTGGGATTTCTAGGACTTTGTAGTCTAAGAATATCTGGGGACCCAGGGTTGGAAATCACTGATATAGACATTGGTCTACCTTAGTAAGTTCAAATTTTACTGAATCGCACAACTTTCCTTTGCAGGTTTTCAAGGAGAGGTGAATTTCCCCCCTTATCTTGCATCATATCATTTCTGAACTATAGAGGACAGGGCTGTGCTTGTGAACTTCTGCCCGTGGAACATGTACTGTGCCTTTGAGATATGTCCTAGTTCCCTCTGATGCTTAGCCTCCTTTGCTCTTGCTTTTCAGAGTTGAGCAATGGACAAGTGCTTCTAGTCCTGACGGCTCACGAGACCTCTTTTCCCAGCACTTTGAATGCGAATCTTTGGGCAGAGAGATTGAAGAAGCTGGGAATTCAGGTGATGTTCCAGATCTCATTGAAACTTGCACAGCAGAAGTAGACCTGCTGGTAAAATACCGTTGATGTATTACCATTTATTCATCTCCTTTATATACAGTATGCATGAGGTTATGCTGATAATTATTACTCATAATAGTTAATGGCCAAAATCCTGTTGCTTCCAGGCAGAGAGGAGATGGCATTGCTTGCGGTCCCTGTTTGAATTCCAGGTCACATGCTAAGCCTCACGACTGGCATGCAATGAGATATCCAAGCAGGGACTTACTAATTCGTAGCAGTTTCTTTCTGTAAGTTACATTGTTTCCTTTCTGCTGGTGTAACTGCACAACAGGATGTTGGCTATGTTGTTATTGTTCTTCTCATTGTTACCCCCCCATGCTTATAGTGAAATGTGTCCGTAAATCTGGGTATGTGGATAATGATTGTGTCATTGCACAAACAGGTGACACCTGACCAATGGAAAAATTTAATTCAAGGCACGGTGTTGCAGCCGGAAGTTAAACAGTATCTATTCTACAATTCCAGAGGATTCAGAATAACCATTGCTGTGGTAAGGGACGCATGGCAATCCTGAATGTTGGCATGGGTAAAACCATGGCATGCTGCCTTCTTGTGGGACCGCCTGATTGGGTGGGGCTGAGAGAAGGTGACTCCGGTGTCAGTGGAGCAGTGAATCTGCTCCGGGTTTTAGTCCGAACCCAGCACCTTGGACAGAGAACTCTTGTAAAATTCAGGCGGGAGTGCCACCTTTGAGTCGACATCTAAAACATGTCCCCTGCTCCTGGCCACAGGTTTCTTTGGGGCCACAGACTTAGATATTTCCCCACCTCTTCTGCCATTTTCAGGTCCTGTACGTGACTCTCTGGATCAACCTTTATTCCACTCTGATGGTATTTTCTGTAGGACCTTCTTGGGAAGTCAGCATCGTGGCCACTGTCGTAGCCCTGGCAGTTGCTTTGGCTGTCCGACTCATCGTTTATCGACGCCACCGTAAAGTAAGAAGAGACAAGGTCTCTATGTAGTTGGGGTTTCCGCAAATAACAATGGATAGTTGCGGGGAGAGTTCCTTTTCAGACACAGCCCGGAACTGAACCCAGTTGTACCCAACTGAATGGGCTCTGATTTGTTGGCCAAAATCTTGTTGAGATTTTACATCAGCGGTGTCGCTTTCTCTGGCCCGTTCCCACAAGTTGGCACAGGCATTATCTGCCTTTGTCCTTCACCGTACTGGCTGTCTGCATTACACTGAAAAGTGCGTTTCCTGTCGTTGTCCTCAAGATGCCAGCGACCGGGCTGCGTTCACATCTTCCCTTTCTCTCTCATTCTCCAGTGGAACGCAAACACTGACATGAGGCTCTCGGCTGCCAACGAAGTCTTCATGAAACAGGACTTTCTGGTGGGACTCACGGACCTCCCGCATAAGCTTCACAGCATCCCCCAAGTATCCTTTCTGTCTGAAACAGACGTGGGCGAGTCCTCCAAATTTCAGATCCTTGAGCAGGTATCCTCGGCAGCCGGTTCATTTCAGCTTTCCTAGGTAACTCTCTGTGAATTGTGCCGTCATTCATCCAGAAAAAGTCTATTCCTTTAAAGCAGTGGTCCCCAATGTTGGGCCTCCAGATGTTCTTGGACTTCAACTCCCAGAAATCCTGGCCAGCAGAGGTGGTGGTGAAGGCTTCTGGGAATTGTAGTCCAAGAACATCGGGAGGCCCAAGGTTGGGGACCATTGCTTTAAGGGGTGGTGGTGGTGGTCCTAACTTGCATATCACATGTGGGTTTTCTTAAAAGAGTGCCATTTTGGCAGTTTTCACTCCCAGTATCCACAGTCATTCGCAGTCCAGTTGGTGCTGTGTTAGGTGCCAAAAGGGGACAGCACTGGTAATGTCATGGATGTTGCTCTGTGCCCTCCTGTCGCCCCCGACCTATTGTGATCTGATGTATGAATGACACACACACCCAGAATGTCCACTAGCAAATCTGCTCGGTTTTTGCAGTTTCAAGACCATGAACTCCCCTTTGGTGTCCCTCTTTTCCTGCTGCCTTCGGTTTTTCCTGGCAATAGTGCTACACCACCAGCAGCATGTCGTGTGCAACATTGTTGCTGTTGCGATGCATTGCTTCCAACCGCAATCGGAAGACCACAGTCTAGACCCTCCTTCCAAGCATTTGGCAGACGGCTCATGAAGCATAGACACCAGGGGGACTTCAGTAGCTCCTCCAAGGCAGAGTTGTGGTCAAGCCAACTCTGCTTGAACATCCTGCGCTTCTCATCCTCATTCTGCGCAGAGTTGCATTGCAGTTTGAAGAGCTGGCCAGTAGGAGGAGCAGGTTGGCCACCGATTGCCAAAGGCTGGTGGACAAGCTGGGTTTGCTTCCTTTCCTTGAAAAAAAAAGCTTAATTACGAAATTCTGTGCATCATATGGAAAAGCTGGATTTCAAATATTTCCATCTTTTAAAAAAAATATAGTTGCTTACATTAAAGCCCACAGTTTGGTGCCATGTGTCATGCTAGAGAAAGTTTTTACGGGAATAAATCACTTTTCCAGCATGCAATAATCAAAAAGAGCCTTTCTGCAAGAGATGTATACAGTCCAGCTGTTTGCTGAGTTGATGGTTGAGACTGCTCTCGGTCCTGATTAATGGCCTGCATCTCCATTCTTGCTAGAAGCCAAAACAAAACAGCCCACCATCCAACATCTTTCTCGGATTCGATGAGGCTGAAGAAATGACAGCTTTACGACTTGCAGCCGGGCCGGACTGCACTCCAAACTTGTGTTGCAAAAGGCACCTAGTTAAGGTGTGCATCGACTCGAGCGGAAAAGCCAGACCAGCTACAAGACTCGTGGTGACAGTTGAGGTGGAGTCTGGTGGATAGTGTGGCGGCAGCAGACGGACATGAAATCCTATTTCAAAACACAGAAGTACTGGACAACACCAGCAATCATAATGTTAGACTACACAGGGAATGTTCTGAAGGTTGTTCTTCCTAACGTTTCGCCAGTCTCTGTGGCTGGACATCTTCAGAGGACAGCACTCTGTGCTCTGGTGTAGTTGGCTTTGGGAATGCAGCATTTAGTGCTGTCCTCTGAAGATGCCGGGCCACAGAGACTGGCGAAACATTAGGAAGAACAACTTTCAGAACATGGCCAAAGAGCCCGAAAAACCCACAACAACCATTAGGTCCCGGCCGTGAAAGCCTTCGTGAATACAATATCTTTTGAAGTTGTGAAGGCACCAAAGCCCCCCTCTTACCACTTCAGGGAATGTTCTGCCCAGACTGAGGGGTGGGCTTGGCTGCAGGTGGGGTGGATGGAATTTCGGTCTGCTTTATCGTCTCCTCCACCACCTTCTCCTCCACCTCCAGCTCCTTCTCTTTTTCTTTCCTCTTCTCCTCTCAAAAAAGCAGTTCTGCAGATTCCTTTCTAAAGGTAGGAGAGAAAGAAGTTGAGACTGACAGCAGGAGGGGGAAAAGAAAACCGAAACGGAAGAAAGCTAGGGCAATAAGATTTCTTAGCACTTCTGAATTCTAGAGCCTGCCCCATAAGTCAAAGATGTTAAGGCAGCGGTTCCCAACCCGGGGTCCCCAGATGTTCTTGGACTACAACTCCCAGATATCCTGGCCAGCAGACCTGGTGGTGAAGGCTTCTGGGAGTTGTAGTCCAAGAGCATCTGAGTTACCCAAGGTTGGGAAGCACTGTGTTGGCACCTCAGCCAACGTGCCTGTTTTATAGGAGTGGAGATTTTGTCTAAAGATTAGGATGGGATGTGTGTGTAAAAGCTGTCCAATGGTGGAATGGAATAACTGGATGATGTTGGGCTATTTTTCATTGGAGAAGCTTGTTTGCTTGTTCAGAAGAGACCCAAAGGCCATCTGTCAGGGGAGGTTTCAGCTGTGGGCTTTCTGCTTGCCAGGGGTTATGGCCAGACTGGGGTTCTTGTCCTTTGCACACAGTTGATGGGAGCAAAGTTCCAAAACATCTGGACGCCTCAAGATTGATAACGCATGGACAAGAAGACATTCGAGGTCCCTTCCAGCGCTAAAATCCTGCGGGTCTGTGAAACTCAGATGCTCTCGGACACCAAGGACATGTTGTGCTAGGTCACAACTCCTTATCTAGATCCAGCCAAGACTCACCTGAAGGCTGAGCTACCCAGCCAAGGTTGCGGCGTCCAACCTTGGCCCTCCGTGCAAATTTGACCACTCCAGTTCTGGCTCGCCTCCACTGGTGGTCGGTGGCGTCCTGGAATCAGGTTCTGGATTTTGACACATACAGTTACTTGTTGGAGCAAGTTCTGGCTCGCCTCCACTGGTGGTCGGTGGCGTCCTGGAATCAGGTTCTGGGTTTTGACACTCACGTACAAAGCCCTCCTTGGTTTGGGCCCCAGTTACTTGTTGGAGCGTCTCTCCTGAATGTCATCTGCCCGACCCACATGATTATCCCAGTCGAGGCTCCTCTGGGTGGCCACCCCGAGGGAGGCCCGTAAACCCTCTCCAAGAGGCAGGGCCTACTTTGGGGTGGCTCCCACTTGACGGAACCATCTTCCGGAGGAGCTCCGCCTGGGCTCCACCCGGTGGACATTTAGGAAGCCATTAAAGAGATTGCTTTTCAGGGAGGCTTTCCCCACCAACACCAGCTGATCACCTCCCCCCACTTTTCTTTCCCCTCCTCTTCTTCTCTCCCCTCTTCCCTCCATCCGCTCTGAGATTAATTCGTGCCATCTGTTTTTTTGGGTTTTTTTTAGGGTTGTTGCTATTGGTTTTAATATTTCTATTTTCATTTGTGTTTTCTGTTTTATGTGTTGTAGCCTGTCCAGAGTAGTGCTGTGACACTGATCGGAAGGGATATGAATAGAATAGAATAGAATAGAATAGAATTGAATGAATGAATGAATGAATGGATGAATGAATGAATGAATGAATGAATGGATGAATGAATGAATAGATTGAATGAAAGGATGAATGAATGAATGAATGAATAGACTGAATGAATGAATGAATGAATGAATGGATGAATGAATGAATAGATTGAATGAAAGGATGAATGAATGAATGAATGAATAGACTGAATGAATGAATGAATGAATGAATGGATGAATGAATGAATAGATTGAATGAAAGGATGAATGAATGAATGAATGAATAGACTGAATGAATGAATGAATGAATGAATGGATGAATGAATGAATAGATTGAATGAATGAATGAATGAATGTTCACCTGTCCAGAGAAACGCATGTCCTTGTTTCACCGTAACAGCTCCTGTCCTCCCCTCTCTGTGATGCATGATTGATCTGTAAGTCGCCCCAGAGTGTGCTCAGAGGAGACACAAGACTGGAGCTGTTACAAGCCAACCCTCCCAAAAAATGTAAACAAATCCCACGTTATAACTGAACTCAGCGGTTCTGCCTGTCTATCTGAAGGCATTTCCTTTAACTCCCGTCGTCTTGCGTCAGCTGTGGTTTGTTCATTTCGTGGTGGGGCCCTGCCTTCGGTCCTTGGAGGACACCGTAGCCAAAATGGAAAGGCTCCAGAGGGTGAGTTCTGTGTGGTTGTGTCTTACCTACAGCAGGTGGTTTCTAAAGAGCAGGTGGCAAAGCCAAGAACTCCGACTTAACCCACACCACAATCAGGTTGCTAAGGCAGGCGGGCGATCGTACAGCTTGCGTGCATGTCCCGGATGGGTATGAGAAGTAAGTAGCAAACGTCCTAGCTCACTCTTATTCCCTGTCATTGTGATTTAAAGGCTGAACTCAGTGGTGCTTGGATGGAGTCGCTTTAGATGGATGGCTAACTGTGAATATGAATGGGATGGACTAGCGCGGCGGTTTCCAACCTTGGTTCCCAAAAGCCGTCACCATGAACCGTGCTGTGGCCAGGATTTCTGGGGGTTGCAGTCCAAGAACATCTGAGGACCCAAGGTTGGCAGCCACTGCGCTAGCCAGTCCCACAAGATCAGATTAAAGGTCAGTCTAGCTCCAGTGGTTATGGTAGCTTTAGCATTCAATCCTCTGTCCTGCATGCATTTTGTCTAATTGCCATTTCAGCCCAGGGGCTATGGCTGGATCTTGTGGCAGGGAGTTCCTGAGACTTCTTATGCATTTCACATTTAGCGAGGTCCTTCATTCTGGTGGTCCCCAGACTTCTTGGTGCATGTTTATTAAGTGTGTGTGTGTAACAAATCAAAATGCTCCCAAAATAAAACAAGCAGGTCTTCTTGTGTGTCAGCAGCTGGGACTGTATTATTGTTCGTAAGGTTGCCACCCCTGAAATGTCCTAATTGAGAATACCTCTGGATTTTGAATACCTTGAGTTCCACCTCAGGGGAGTCCAAGAGGTGGCCATGGGAGGTGCGGAGGTATGAAATTTCCCCAGGCCCCTTTCAGGTTTCCTGCAAGGTCACGTTTTTTCTCCTCTTGTTTGCCCAGACGGCTCTGAAGAGCAAACAGGATGAAATCTGCATCGTTCTAGAAATGGCTGTCGCTCCGAGTCTGGGGAGAAAACTACCAAGCGCCTTGGAGGAGTCACCCTTGTTGCCCGAGAGAACAAAGAGCAACCAGGGGGCTCTTACCTGCCGGGAGACCCTCCGTCTTCTACCAGATGGACCCCCGGAGGTAAGGCTTCTTCAGCCCAGGGTCTCCCCCGTGGTGTTTTCCTTGACTCGGCTTTCCTGGAGAGGGTTGAGGTGTATTATTTGTGTCTCTGTGTTGCTTGTCTGTCCTGGGTTTTCTCCCTTGACCTCCAGGGTCCAGTCCTTGGCTCTCTGCTTCCCCTACTTCATCTTCACAATCGCCTGACGAGGTAGGTCAGGCTGAGAAATCCTGAGCCCTCGTCCGGCAACAGGTACAGTGGTGCCTCGCTAGACAGTTACCCCGCATGACAGTTTTTTCGCTAGACGTTGGCTTTTTGCAATCGCTATAGTGATTCACAAAACAGTGATTCCTATGGGGGAATTCCGCTGGACAATGTTTGGTCCCTGCTTCGCAAACCGATTTTTGCTAGACGACGATTTTGACAGCTCCCTCCGCGCTCACAAACAGGTGTTTTCGGGACCTAAGCTTCACAAGACAGCGATTTAAACAGCTGATCGGCGGTTCACAAAGCGGCATTCCTATGGCCGATCTTCGCTAAACAATGACGATTCTTCCCCATTGGAACGCATGAAACAGGTTTCAATGCATTCCAATGGGGAAATGCTTTCCGCTAGACAATGATTTCGCTAAACAGCGATTTCAGTGGAACAGATTATTATCATCTAGCGAGGCACCACTGTACATCGGATTCCTTCCTACCAACCGGAAGGAGGGAGCCCTGAATGAGCTTAGACTTTCTTCGATCTGATTTTTGTCCAGGGACTGCCTCTCATCCCACAAAGCTGGCCAAACTGACCTTTATTTTAGAAGGAAGCACAAAACACACACTTTATCCTGAATCCCAGCCCAGGCGACTCATGTCTCCCACTACCCGTCCTTTTATTTTTTCCTGCCCACTTGTATTAAGACACCCTTTTCCCCAGAATTATTTTTTTAAATGACTCTGTTTGCAAAATGATGTGGCTTCTGAAATGTCACAGTTGAAAACACTTCTGGACTTCTAATCCTCTCAGTTCCAGAGTGTAATGGCCGTGAGATCAAGAGTAGACCTTTGGTCTAGATGGGGAGGGGAATAGAAATCCAAATAAATAAATAAATAAATAAATAAATAAATAAAT